TTATGAGTCATAGAGTTGGAAAGGATCTTAGAAGTGCTCGATACAGAATCCATTGCAGCATCTCTGAGGGATTATCATTTTTAAAAATTATATATACAAGAAGTGATTATTGGTGGTGAATGCAATTACATCTAAGCCAAATAATAATATATCTAAAATAAGGGGAAAAGTAATTGCCAAGCTCTATATCAGTGATGGCAAACCTTTTAGAGACCGAGTGCCCAAACTGCAACCCAAAACCCACTTATGCATCTTTGGGTGCCGGGTGGGTGTGGCCCATTGGCTGGGTGTGGCCCATTGAGTAGGCGTGGCTGGGGTGATAACAGCAGACTGGGTGGGGCTAAAAAGTTCAATCAATCAATTCCAACTTTGCAAGATCTTTTTTTTCCCCGCGAGAAGTCGAAATTGACTGATTGATTGAATTTTTTTTTTTTTGTACACGGTGGTGGAGGCCTAAAGCAAAAAGGTTTTATAAAACCCAGCTGAAGGCCTAGGACTGGGTGACGGCGCACATGCCCACAGAGAGGGATCTGAGTGCCGCCTCTGGCACCCGTGCCATAGGTTCGCCACCACTACTCTATATAATGATAACATTATTTATAATCTTTTTAAAAACCTGCTTACCAATATATTCTGTAGCCAGTTTAGCCCATTTTTTTCAGTTAAGGGCTTACGTTTTAATGTACTTTCTTTAATTGAATCTTTCCATTCGCCCTATATGATATCCCTGAGAACAATTAATTGTATTATATGCAACATTCAAGTGTCTTGATTCTTTACTAGATTTCTTACAATGGTCATGAACAATTTTATTTGTGCCTTCAAGTCATTGTTAACTCCTGGCAATTTCCTAGTTCCTTCAGTTTTCTTGAGAAGGTTTTTTGGAAGTGGTTTGCCATTAGCTGCTTTCTAAGGCTGAGAGAGTAACTGGCACAAGATCATCCATCTGGCTTTGTATCTTAAGGTGGGACTAGAACTCATGGTTCTCATGGTTTGTGGCCTAATGCCTTAACCACTGGCTCATATCAGTATCTCAATATCAGTTAAATATTAAACTGGATATTATTAGGCATTTTTCCTTCTTTCATACTTATTCATCTTTTACCAAAATAAGTGAAAGTAATATCCATGTAAAAGGTTGACATACAAAAATATTCTTCCTCACTTTTGTTTTGAGGACTTAAGTTTTTTATCTAATGTTTTCATTTTCAACAAGTTCCCCTAACAAAATTGTGGACCTTAGAAACAAACTTTTAATTTTTTATTATCAAGGCTGAGTTTTCAACCCTTGCTGATTTTAGTAGGATAAGTATCAACCCATAGATATTTTTCCCTTGAAATAAACACTATCTTTGCCGGATGTTTCTTATTTCTCACAGCTTAGCAATCAATTAAAATATTGACACTTCAAATTATGTAATAAAACAATCAGCAAATCTTAATGATAAATGCCATTGCAGTAGATGTTTACCGGTTGCTGCTTTCATCCAGTAGTGTTGACCCCTTGGTTAACTTTATATTCTTGTATAAATGAAATTTGCTAAAAACTTCTCATTGTTAAAAGTTCCATTTTTATTGGCATTATAATATAGATTGTATAATAATAGTGTAGCAATGTATAGTTTTCTCAGCGCTTTCCCATTAATAGCTGTTGATGTATGTTAAAAAATTATGATCCTCTCTGTTAACTGATTATGAAACCATGTAATACAGGTTGTTGTTGGATTATGCTGAAACTTCTTGAAAAGAAGCCCTCTTTGAAAATATGTTGCTGTTGAAGCTAATAGTGTGATTCAGGTACTGTCCTTCGAAAGTACTGCATTTACAGCTTGATTTTTACGAGAGTAATTGTAGTGTTAAGACACCTGTACAGTTTTTCTTAGGTTTAAAGTGTCAAATCTTTCTGGATGTGATTTTAATAACAACTATATTTCTGGTGTCCTAACAATAATTATGGTGTATTTTTGTATTAGAACAAGTCAGTCTAAATGACTATCTGACCAAAATACCCAAATGTAGAACCTTAAAAATATCTGGTTAACCATACTGTTGGAAATATAATATTTGACTGGTGGACATGTGATCAGATCTAGCAGAGTTGCTGC